TTGATTCTGAAATGTTCTGTAACCAACGTTACAGGGAACGCACTTTTTTTGTGAATAGATATTATTTTCCATATTAGTTGACAAAAAAACCCAGTTAATTCTATAATTTCTATCGATTCCTGATATGCTATCACATTAAAATACAGGCTAAATAAATAAGATGCACTTACAACTATATAATAATAACTCATGTCTTCGGTTAAACATAGAGTAATAAGATTAGAGATCTTGTGTATGCATATAACTACAGTGCAAAGTGTTCAATTTAAATATCGCCGTGCTTAGATTTCCTCCGTTTCCTTAAAAAGTGGTATTTGTAAAATATATCAGCAAGTATTTAAAAGGGGGAGGCAAGGCAAGTTCGGCCCATTTTTATTAAAATTGTTCTTTGCAGTTTGGCGTTTGTTTCAATTTATGTGTATACACCCCAATTTGGAAGAGAAATGTCATGCCTTTCCTAAAATAATATCAAAACGGCAAGCACTTCCGTATTTGACGAATTATTTAACATTTCTGTCGGAAGATTGGCTGGCCTAGGGACAGGTTTTGACAGACAGTCTGAGATAAGTTCGACCCACGTTGGAATCAGTATCATTATATGACGTCATAAAGCACGCAACGTGATATTTCCCGCCAATTTAACGACTTTATTTTAATTGGAATTTGGCACAGAAATGATGGATTGTCAATAGCAGTATGGTACTGTACTACAAGGTCTGGACAAATAAATATCAATATATATATATATATATATATCAATATATATATATATATATAATATATATATATATATAAATATCCAATAAGAACTGGCAATAACTGGATGCACTGAAGAAAAATTGACCACAGGACTTCATCTACTGAATATCATAACTATTAATCTTACTTAGCTACTAAACTGAATTATTGCAGTTAAGGTTTTATGACCATATCTTGTCTAATCACATTAACTTAGTGATAGGACTTATTAACTTATAATGTTGTTGTTTTTATTCAATATAGATGTATCATTTAGTAGGATTGCAGAAACAGGGACATTTCATAATTCATATATAACTGTTATAGGAAGGTAATATTTTACTACCAAAAGCCTTTAAAATATTTTCCATGAGTTAAATAAATCAAACGTGAAGAGTTTTTAAATTAAAAGATGTTTTATTGAACTTTAAACACAGGAGTTGAAGAAAACTCTTTCAAAGCATGTACATTACATACAGTCTCCACATGCATAATTGACCAGTGATGGCCCTAGTATAGAACACAATATATATGCAGGTGTGTGTTTTTTAACTAGGAAAAAATGATAAAAAGTATTGCAATTGTCTGAAGGAATGGCTTTGTAGTTTTATCTGCCTGTCTGCCTCATAAAGCAGCCAACTTGTATTTTTTCCTCTCTGCCTTTTCTCCCTCTTGTGTTTCCTATACTATCACATTGTGTAATATAAATGTGTAACATTCACATTGTTTAAGATTTATTTTTGTATCAAAATTGTTGTGGTGTCATACAAATGTTGTTAGGTTACAATTGTTACACACACAGGAACTCTCATCTGAAAGTTGTTAATTTCTGACGACGTTTGTGATAAATGGCGAATGTTAAACAAAATGTAGGCCTAATCAACATTCTCAAAAGTCATGTAATACTGACCGACGCTGCAAATGAGTTTATTTAAAATTCGAATTTAAGCGGGTCTACATACTTTTTGTGCATGAAACGAGACGAGGAAAGTCACATAAGTAGCTTACCTAGAACAAATAAATTGGTGTGATCTTGAAGATCTTAAGATATCCGGTTAAACTGATAAGTACAAAGGAATGACATCATAGCTATGCTCACCGATTGCGAGGAAACAGTATTTCGGTAACATAATAGGATTACGGTGGTGATTATCGTCAAGTTCAGACTATTATAACAATTTGGTATTTATGGATAGTATAACACAACATGAAAAATTCTGTTTCTCCTAAACAATCTCGAAAACGTCACAAAAACTCATGTAACGCGTAACATTTGCAGGTTGAGAGGTTTTAAAGAAATTCTATAAATTCGCGCAAAAAGTGTGCAGAGATTTAAAAACAAGATTCCCGAGGGTTGAGATTCCCCTTTCTCACCCACAAGGGGGTGAATGATTTTTTTTTCTTTTACCCTGTTCTCCCATATACACAATGTTATGATAACGCTACATGCTAAATTCAGAGTTGACGTGACGTTGATGGATTGTTGACGTAACGTCATTGTATTGTTGAAGTGACGTCATACCATTGTTATGAATAGGGGAATTCCCCCGTCTGAAACCCAAGGGTGAGACAAGGAAATCTCACAACGGTAAAAGTGCGGATACACCTGTCCAGGGTAAGAGAAAGGCATATGAACAGAATGTATGATGTTGACATGAAGATATTGTCAGATATTTGAGATATAAAAAGTTATATTTGTAATGTGTCTTTGTCGAAATTATCATACAAAGAATATTATCAATCTAAAATAACGTTTTCTTGTAAAACAGGAAAAAATAAAAATTCCGAAATTTGTCCAGTAGTTGTTTTTGACGTATATTTTGCATAAATTGCAACTTTGATGACGTATATTAGTAAATTGCGGAACATAAAATAAAATAAATTTGTCCTGATAAGAATGTGTCTCGACTTAATAGAATGAAACACTTTTCACTTTTGTTATGGGATAAAGAACGAAAAAATCGCACTACACTTATCATTTTTCGTAAAATGTCCCTCTTAGGCGACGTAAAGGGAATATGTTGCGCAACATTTAGAGTGTCAAACATCGGTAAAAATCGTTAGGTCATTTTATTATTTCGAGTTAGATTTCATGCATCATTATAACTTCCGTTAACACTATGTGGACAAAGTCTAAATAGTACTAAATAGAAGTGTAGAAGTATAGTCAAAACAGCATGTTGAATCGCAAAAATCTGAAAATGGGACAACCGACTCGTTCTGAACCGATGGAAACGATTTTGAGAATATAAGCCTGTCCACAACCCCACAACTATCTCCTCCTTCTAATCCCGGCCATCTTATAAACTTAATTATTTCACAACAATTATGAAAAAAGTTTATGAGCTCATGTTGATTATTCTTCCTTTTCCGCACAGTAGCGTTTAAGGGAGTCACACAAAATAATAAAAAATATGATAAAACATCTAAAAAGCGACGTCATTTATGATTAAAAAAACCCGACGTCATTTTAAGGTTACACAAGGTGTCACTAACACCACGGAATTAGATTAGATGTTATCTAAGTCCGTGCTAACACCGCGCGTAACGTCAGTAAGTTCAGTTCGTAAAACTAGAAAGAAGGCAGAGGCTACTTTTACTTTTCTCTCTTTAAGTTATTTTGTAAATTGAGTTCCTCGCCTATTTGTATGAATATCCTACCCAGCCAACTAAAATGTTTAAGATCCCCAGAGTTGTAAATGGTTGCTCAATACCAAAAATATATAAGGGATGAATTTGCCCCAGTGTGAGTACTACTTTTAGGCCTATATATATATATGTGTCTGTTATGTACACGTATGTAATATTCAACGTATATATGTCTGCTGTAATATTAAATGGTATGCAAAATATATATTTTCGCTTTATGATCTTTAGATCTACAATCAAATGTCTATACTGCTGTCTAGTCAAAATTCGTGTAACACACCTAGCTAACATAGTTTTGAAAACATCTACAAACTTTTTTTCACAATTAAGTGTATAAACATGAAGTTGAGGCATTATTTAACATTGTCCCATATTATCACCAGTGCTTTGACACGAGGGGTGCGTACAGACGTGATCTGGAATATTCTGCATTGTAGCTCATTGATTGCTTGTTAGAGCTTGTTTTATTTTAAACGGTTGTATGTTGTTATCGTATTATCAGTTTTCATATCAAGCTCAAAACTGAAATTTGGAAACATAATGTGATCACTTAAATAAACACCGCATTAAAGAAGCTATTTGCAGAAAAAGATTACTTGTAACGCTATGAAATGCATACCACTGAAAAATATAGAACATGACGTCATTTAGGTCACTTCAATGGGTGATAGAGACGCTTGACGTGGGCTATTGCGAACTGCAACGTTAAGCGTTAATGCGATCTCGATCATTATTTATCATCCGGTTTGCTCCGAGCATGCTCATTAATGGCAGAAGCCATATTGACCTTTGGTTGTCAGTGGTCCCGAGAGGAAAATCTGTTGCCTGTCCTTTTCAGTGTGCTCTGTTTCAGTGTTTTGATTGATTTTATATGTTTTGATAATATTTTTCTTGTTCGTTGCTGAAAAAGTGTTGGAAGCAACACCAAACGACGTTTTACAACTGATGTAAACCGCCTCATGGCTTCCCTAGTCGATGGCGTCTCGCTGTTTGACGCAAATGAAATTGCACAGTGAAGGCTGTATTGGTAACGATGGTATCTGGGTTTGAGTGGTGAAAGATTAAGCGGACAGTTTAATCCTAAAGAGGTTTCTTCTGGATGTTCTATAGTAGGTGAGGAAGAAATTACTACGCGTGTCTTTTTAAAATCCTTTCGACACTTGTAACGCAGTGTGTAGTAAAATGTAGGTTTTTACTCGCATCCGGTGTGTGATGGATGAGGAAATCATAACGTTTGTACCATGTCAACAATGTGAATTACGTTGTCGTTATCTTAAACACGTCGGAAAAAAAAACCCGGCGTTGATGTAGTTACGAACAATACATTATATAATACTTGAATGCATATCGTATGTATAATTCACATATCGAAAATGATGAAACTATACTTAAAATATGTGAGAAAAAAATGATCACTGCTCATTATACAGTATTTTGGTCTGGCTTGCAATTATGACAGTTCTGTTAATGTTGTTTGTAAAGTGCATATATAGATGGAATTTATTGTTTTGGTGATTGTAGCAGTCCTTGAAATTACAGTGCAATTAAAATCATGTGATTGTCTGAGTTTTGAAAATAACGTATCGATAAAGATATCTATCTATTGATTTCAGGTGACATAAAGAATGGGTGCATTTTTGGATAAACCAAAGACAGAAAAACACAATGAGGGAGGCATGGGCAACTCCTTGCGCTTCGGCCTCAGTAGCATGCAGGGTTGGAGGGTGGAAATGGAGGATGCCCACACAGCGGTTATTGGCCTTCCATGTGGACTGAAGGATTGGTCCTTCTTTGCCGTTTTTGATGGGCATGCCGGAGCTAAGGTTTCAGCATACTGTGCAGAGCAGCTATTGGATCAGATCATAGCCAACGAAGACTTCCGGGGCAAGCTGGATGTCAAACAGGGTACTGAGGTACAGCCTTCTCTAGAGGATGTTAATCGTGGAATCAAGACCGGCTTCCTTAAACTTGATGAGCGGATGAGGGATATCCCAGAAATGAAGAGTGGGGAAGATAAAAGTGGTTCAACTGCTGTTTGTGCTATTGTATCACCAAGTCATATATTCTTTGGTAATTGCGGCGATTCCAGGGCTGTTTTTTCCAGAGGTGGAAAATGTCAATTTTCTACCCAGGATCATAAACCAATCAATCCTACAGAAAAGGAGCGAATTCAAAAAGCTGGAGGGAGTGTAATGATTCAGAGAGTAAATGGTTCATTGGCAGTTTCACGTGCTCTTGGAGACTTTGAATATAAAAATGTCAAGGGAATGGGACCTTGTGAGCAACTTGTTTCTCCAGAGCCGGAGATATTCTTGGAAAATCGTTGCAGTGACGAGGAATTCCTAGTGCTGGCTTGTGATGGTATCTGGGACGTCATGACCAATGAAGATGTCTGTGACTTTGTCAGGGATCGCATGAAATTAACGAGTAGTTTAGAGAGCATATGTAACCAAGTTATCGATACTTGCTTGAACAAGGTAATTTAGGTTTATGTGAAAAACTTCTATTATTTTTAATATGTGAAAAGAAAGCGGCCAATTGTTCTAAAATAGATCAGTTTAGATATTGTAAACATTTTGATATTGCAATATTACTCTAATCATTACATATGTATTGCGATGATATATTGCAGAATTCTAAAACATTTTTAGGAAATATGATGAAATAATAACCAAACGATTAAATTGGTCTGCCATGCTACCAACTGAACGCGAGCGGTTGTTATCACAATGTGTATAATACATAAGCCAGTGTCTGATGCACAGTTCTATCTGTCACATCAACCTAGCCCTCGGCTGTGTTATCAATGATAGCATCTTTGGTAACACAGGTTCAATGTAAAGTGAAAGTACAGAATATGACTGCTTCTTCCTACCATTTGTTATCGATAATGTCAATTTGACAGATACAGGGAAGGACCCACTTATTCAAACTCGTATTACTCGTAAAACCCCTGTTCCTTGAATGGTTTGCATGCTCAGACCGTGTTCCTATATATTCTTTATAAATTAACATCAGATAACACGAACTTCCTAAATGACCTTATCTGTTAATAGGACGTTAAACAAAAAATTAAAAAACCTGAACTACTATTGCTCCAACTTGGCTACTTCTTGAACTCTGATTTATCCAAGACCACTCAAACTTCAGTATTTAACCTATCCATTCGTGGAACAGGTAGTCACACCTGTTCATTATACCAACTGCATGCTATCGACATGGCTGTCTGATGTCCCACCTGATCAAAACATGTCGGACAAACCTCGAAATCGTCAAATACCATGTATTTCTCAAACCATTTATTTGAGCCCCATGGCTTAAAGTTAGCGGGGTTTTATGCATTTGTTATTTTGTGATAATTCTATACCCATGCACATTTAAATGGTATACACACTGTAAACAAATCCTGATTGGCAAGATAAGTCCATTTATGCTGGCCACGCTATATTTCATGTGTCATTTTACGCAGTGTTGCAACATACTATTTTCGAAAACATTTCTTATATAAACATTATTACAATATTCATAATGCAAACCATGAAGATAAACATAATGCTGTGAATATTCCTGCAGCTTGCTACCAAATAACTTAAGCTTCTACAGATGCATAAATTGAAAAATATGGCAATCTCTAATTTTGCGTCAAGATGACATTTTTTTTCATTTGATTCTATTAAGTACTGTAGTCGGGTGGTGCAGTGAATACCGCACTTGCCTTTCACCAAGGTGGCCAGTGTTTGATTCCCCGATTGGACGGGAAAAGGTTTGAGGTCACCTGCCCAACTACGTGGGTTTTCTCTGGGTACTCCATTTTCCTCCCACATTAAGACCCCTGCGCGCTAATATTCGGGCCAACAAAAGTGATTGGTATAAGTTGAAATAATTTGTTTCATTATTGTCGTAAAATAAATACAGTTTATATATAATAAAGTACCAAGTTATTGAAAATATAAGTAAACATTTAAAAACATATTTTAAAAAAACCCACTTCAATTTAGAAACATTTTGATAGACTTGGTTAAGCTTAATGACCTATCTGTTATTGTGCTTTAAACATTTTGAAAAAACTGAACGGTTAATGTGATCACAAACACCATATGATTTTTACTTTATTTTTCAGGGGAGTAGGGACAATATGAGCATTGTTATTGTGGCCTTTACGACTGCACCGTCTGTGTCAGAGGAGGCTATTAAAAAGGAAGAGGAACTTGATAATCGCTTACGAGATAAAATTAAGGGTAAGATGGATTAAAATATTACTTTGAATCCCACTGAACTGTCTAATATATTATAGTACCGGTAAGTATAACAATATTTATCAGCCAAACAGCAATCTGTGGGTGCAGAGTAGTAGAGCTACCATCTTCAACCTACCTTTGGCATCATGGCAAGGCTTTTGCTTCATGAAATCCTTGAAATTGACCCCATCACATACATTTTTGGTTACTGAAAATATTCCAAGGACTTATAATGTCCTATCATGACATTATGAATATAGGGGTAAATGATATTGAAAATTTGAAACTGATTGTATAACAGCAAATGGTGGAAATCATTGACGATTGCTTTTATTTTTTTTAGAAATTTTAGGTAACCCTGATTTTAGTGAGGCAGACCTACCCACCTTCATGCACATTTTAGGTGAAGGCACACCAGGATTGCCCCCTGGGGGAGGCATAAGTGCAAAGTAAGTATAGTTGCCCTCAATTCTCCCTTATAGTATGAAGTATGTATAAGATAGGCTGGAGAGTCTTCAGTCTTCCCCTTCTGGTGTTAAGTCAATAATTTAGAGGTGAGAAAAGGTAGTACATGCTTCCTTACAATTGTTTTGGAAGTCATTTGCAAAAAAGTAAAAAGTGTACATAAAACAGATGTATTTTAGTTATCTATTTAAAATACACTATATAGATTCAGTTCTTGTCAAGGAACCCGAAGATGTAAGCGATCAGGTGTGGTACAGAGAACAGTGCTTCAAACTGTGAAAAAACAACTAATAATTAATAATCTTGTATGATGGATAAATTAACTTGCTTAATTGTATTGTTATTGTGTATGCAAGTGATTAAACATTATTAAAGTATGCCTCTGGAAAATATCTCAATATTTTGTGTTGTGACACCTTTACTACTGTTACCTATGTTGGAAATCAGCCACCTGTATATTAATATGATACAGATGTTTTATTAACTGCCTGCAGCTGTTACCTTGTTGTCGGTCCTTAAACTATTCTTGTGATGTTGCCTGTGAAGGCCACAGAGATCACTTGATCAGCGTCATCACAAAGATTTATGTGCAATAAATCGAAAGGAAACCCTTTGTTTTTCACCAATAACAATTCTGTATTTTAGCACCCTAAATGATTTCCATGTGATAACTCATGGAACATTTTTTATTTGTATAAAACTTCCCACAAATACTTACAGTATCAAGTACCTGCTTAACCCTTTCACCACTGTAGACCATAATGGACTCGTTCAGATCAATGCATGGCAGAGTCTACTAAAGTTACATAGGTTGAAAGGGTTAAATTGATTTTGAACTTGTAGATCAGGATCCAGAATTCAAAAGGGCTGCAAGTGGCCTATATGGATGTTAACATAAAGGTTTTTGTGTGATAAATCTTTAAGGAATGCTTATCTCGAGTTAGAGGAACATTCACCATTACAAGTCTGGGGATTCTCCAACAGCATTCAGAGATTATATCTAGAAAACTATATCATTCTCTTCAAGTTACATAATTCCTGTTTCTTATTGGGGAACTTATTGCCATGAACTATGATGTCACTGTGAAATATAACAACACAAGGCATTGTTACCTGGTACCTGGCATCATAACTAGAAGACTGACCAATGAATTGTGTCCAGGGTGTAACCCACTAGTGGGTAACTAAAACTGTTTACTAGCTCCTAACATGTCCAGGGTGTAACCCACTAGTGGGTAACTAAAACTGTTGACTAGCTCCTAACATGTCCAGGGTGTAACCCACTAGTGGGTAACTAAAACTGTTGACTAGCTCCTAACATGTCCAGGGTGTAACCCACTAGTGGGTAACTAAAACTGTTGACTAGCTCCTAACATGTCCAGGGTGTAACCCACTAGTGGGTAACTAAAACTGTTGACTAGCTCCTAACATGTCCAGGGTGTAACCCACTAGTGGGTAACTAAAACTGTTTACTAGCTCCTAACATGTCCAGGGTGTAACCCACTAGTGGGTAACTAAAACTGTTGACTAGCTCCTAACATGTCCAGGGTGTAACCCACTAGTGGGTAACTAAAACTGTTTACTAGCTCCTAACATGTCCAGGGTGTAACCCACTAGTGGGTAACTAAAACTGTTGACTAGCTCCTAACATGTCCAGGGTGTAACCCACTAGTGGGGAACTAAAACTGTTTTCTAGCTCCTAACATGTCCAGGGTGTAACCCACTTGTGGGGAAATAAAACTGTTTACTAGCTCCTAATACGTCCAGGGTCTAACCAACTTGTGGGGAACTAAAACTGTTTACTAGCTCACATGTCCAGGGTGTAACCCACTAGTGGGTAACTAAAACTGTTTACTAGCTCCTAACATGTCCAGGGTGTGACCCACTAGTGGGTAACTAAAACTGTTTACTAGCTCCTAACATGTCCAGGGTGTAACCCACTAGTGGGGAACTAAAAATGTTTACTAGCTCCTAGCAGGATTACAAAAGAATATTCATCATAAATTAATTGCGACATGTCATCTTTCACCTAAGCTGATGGGCATCATATCATTTTCCTTTGGAATTCTTGTGTCTATATAGCAAATAAAGCATACTGGTAAATAAAAAAAAAGAATGAAGAGAGTTGACTCTTTGAACATTTATTTTTGAACTAACGGTCAAAGACTTCATATCTTCTTACATTGAATAGACATTTGTAAGGCATCAATGTTGTAAAAACTATAGATTGAGAATGACGTAACAGTATGTAAAATTGAGGTTCTGAAATATGTTATTCATTTAATTTGTTTATTACAGGAAAAGTACAGTAGAAAGCATACTGAATCAGCTGCGGCCAAAGAAACAAGATGTAAGTTTAAGTACAGACAACAAATAACAGGGTTTGTATGTATGGTTAGAGGTAATTGTTAAGAGAGTGATTATTAAGCTCTGTATCTCCTTCTTCTGGCAGATTTTATGAAAGTAGGATATGTATATGCTCTATTGGATTGGATTCAAAAGATTTACGTAGATGTTATTGAGATATTTTGATTTTGTTTGAAAAGTTATTAAGATGTTGAATTAATCGTTATTGTGATGTTGAAAATGAGATATTTATCTTAAGGATGTACACCTCTGAGAAGTCAAAAATTTCCTGTAATAAACTTTTTTTCTTATATGGATTTTTGGAAAAAGGAGTAAATGGCATAGTAGGAAATGCAAAAAAAAAAATGTCCGTGTGCTCGTTTTTGTGCTATGATCGGTCAAAGATACCAATTTACCACAACATGTGATTTTAGGTGATTTTTTGGGTTTTGACCACTTGCAGAACAAATTCATGCAATTTCTTCCAAGTGTGTTATCAGATATGTATAAATGTTTGTAGAATTGTTGAAAATATTATTTTCTTTTAAATTATGGAAGTAAAATTTCTTAATCTTATTGTTTTAACTCGAAAAGCCGATTTTAGTTACCCCTACCCCCTATTTTTTAATGAAAAAATACTCATTTTTTACCATTTTTTTACAGATTAAACGCTTGATATAAAAAGTTCTGGTATTTAACTTTTTTTAATATTTAATGAATTAAATGAAAACGTGTTTCTCTTTCTAAAACATCTACAAAAATGGGGGGTCAGTGTGCTTCTTTTTTTGTCCCATTATCATTTGTGTTATTTTTTACTTTTTTCGGGGTCAAAAATCAAAAGTGCTTCAGTTACACTAAATACGTAAAAAAAATATCAATAATGTATAATTTTCCAGTTTGTTGCATATTATTTTTATCATATTGAACATTATAAAGTTGTACAGCAAAAATGAACCTGCTACAATTAAAAATGGCGACACAATGACAATTTAAGTGATCAATCTAGTGCCAAAAAAGGTGAAAATTTGGCCTTTTTTGAAGCACAAGATTTACACAATAATACACATTTTCAAAATGGCCGCCGAATTGGTAATTTTTCAAAATTCTTGTAAAAAAAGTTCTACAAACAACAGGCATCTAGTTTTTTGTCATATTTTTTAGATGCGTGTTTGCTAATAAACTTGATCATAAGTTGTTAAATATTACAAAAACCCATTACACCAGATCAAAACGAGACTTGAAAGTGATTGAAACCTCAGAAGAGTACATCCTTAAACACCTGTAAAAATATATGGGACACATTATGGTATGGGGGTGTCCTTTTCTGTCAATTTGTCAGTCAACATTTTGGTTGCTGCAAGATAACTTACTTAAATATCATAAGGGGGAAAGTTGGTTAAAGCATGTACAATGCTCAAAAACTAAAACTTATTTTGCAAATGAGAATTTGTTTTTGTGTGTAACTAGTTAGCATTCTGCACATTAAATGGTCTTAAGTTTTAACTGTTTAAGATAAATTGAATTATTTGCAAAGGAAGGTAAAAAATATACATTTTAGATAGTGATGTCCCTGCCATTTAAGGGTAGGGGCATATAGTGTTGCCCATACCTCTGTCTTTATGTCCTGAGTCAGTGTTGAGCAACTTGTTTCATAACAGATTTTGATCAAACTTTTTACAAAGGTCAAATATGAGAATACTGTAACTGACTTCACATTGTAGAGGTCCATGGTCACTATCTGGAGAAATTTTTCAAATACTAACACTGATTTCCATGGGAGCCAGGGTAATCCTGTCTTGCAGAAACTAATGACATATGCAACACTATTCCCATTTCACCACAACCCAGAAATAGTTCAAATCTACTAATTAATATAGTTAAAGTGTAGTTTTATCAATGTTCATTACAATAGATAAAGGAACATATCTGAATATCGTACAGTAGTGATCATGTGAAGATATGTATGTGCTCTTTATGCTCTGTCTCCAGAAGAGTTCATTAATTTATATCAAGTATTTTTGCATGGATTATGATGTATGCTCTGTCAGCATTTTTGAGGGGATAGCAGAGGACCAATTTTTTTTTTTTTTTTTTTTTTGCTTTGAAGACATAGAAGGAAAAAGAAGAATTTGTGATTTTGTGTGTGTTTCTGTTTGTGTGACATTTAAGAGGATAAGAATTGGGCAAATGTGACCTACCTTGGTAAATTATTAGCACATTGAGCTTTTTTCCCTGGTATCGATAGCTTTGGAATGTTTTGCATGTCATTCATAAAATGGATAACTAAATATAGCCTCTTCATGGAGAGGCCATTGTAATTGATTTACTTTCATTTTTTCCTTTAAAATATTTATTGAAAGACATTGATAAGCCACTAGTTATATAGATTTTAATAGTTTCTGATGAAAAAGGATGAACCTTAATTATCAGATTGATATCATAATCCCAAAACATAAATTTTTCTGACAATCATTAGTTGATTTAAGACGATATATATATATACATGCTAATTTATGATACATGTAGAAAAAAATCCAATTTTATCATATTGTAGTTAAGGTTATAGACCGAGTGTACTTGTTGATTGGATAGATTGTTTAATGTCACGCAGAAAGATTGTGACCATTGTTGCAGCAGTTTAATATTCAATTTCTGTCTTCAGTCAAATCCAAAAGTTTGAACTGTAGCCAAGCACTGGATACCCAGACCCAGTTTCTGTCAAAAGTGCCTGATGAAATCAGGAAGATTCACAATTTTAATCATCAAACAAAATTTGAAAAAATATGTTTGAAGGGAGGTAATTCGTATAAAACCGTTATCCTTACCTTATTCTTGGCCTGTGAAGTAAAATATGCTTTCCAAATTTCAACACACTTCAGAACTTTCTGATCTATTAAATTCTGTGGACCATTTATTCACATTTTTCTAAAGAGTGGTTATCAAGCCCAGGAAAAGTTCAGCTGAATTTGCTTTTGTGGAAAGTTGTGACCTAACAATGAAACATCTTCTGACAAACATGATAACAGCTTGTATTGAACTTTTTTCAGTATGATTCTGGATATTGTCCATACCCTCGAAAATATTGATGACAAATCTCAGGTCTGTTTGGTTGTTTGCTAAAGTGTGATGGTATATAATTCATTTATCACATTATTAATATACTTATGTGGTTATTTTACCGAAAGATAATCCATCAATACTCCTTGCTCACCTGATCATGTTAGAAGCCCCTGTTATTTTGTAATGCTTGTCATTGTACTGGATTCCGTTGTTTACCTTTTGTCACAGGTATGGTTTCCATGCTTGAGAGTAAACCCATCTTTCCTTTAAAAAGAGTTACAGTTAAGAACAGCCAGCAATGAGGCAATTTTTTTCTAGACCCTTTGAGAGTCCAAAATGGGCATGTGCCTTCCTTAAGCAAAATTTCTCAATTTTGTATGTAAATTTCCCAATTTAAAGAGCATAAATAAAATGTCACCTTGAGTGATCGAAGGTTTAGCAGCTGAAAACAATAAATTCCCCATTTATAGTACAACATTTACCATTTGAAATGGATCCTGAACCATGTTAAAATGACGGAAGAAAATCTGTGTAAAGTGATATATAGTAAGTTTTGTTTACAAGATATGTAAGATATTTACCAATAATTACTTTTCAAGACCAGATCGCTACCATTATAAGCAGTAAAATATTGTAATTTTATGCTTATAAAGTAAAAGATTACTTTGAATGTTCTTGTCCAAAAGTTTGATGATAGGGTTCTGATTAGAATGTTGTGAATGTGATCAGATGAACAGTGTATGGGTTTGATGGATTGGGTAGGAGAACACAGTGGGCTAATCCTGGTTGGTGTGAGCTACCATAATCATTATAGGGAGAAATCTTTTACCATTAGCATGTTTTTCTCAGTCAAAAAGCCTAAGTTAAATACTTGAAGTGAAATTGGATGACATTTTTGTGTGTGCTGAAATAAAAATAAAACAATTAACTCCTGGCTTAATTAAAAAGAACCACTGTCATTGTGCTATCTCGTGCTGTTTTTTGCTATTAATATATGAAAACAAATAGGACAAATGTCGAGTTTTGAGATATTGGGATATGTTTTTTACCTCTCCTGTAAAGTGTGACTAAATGCACTTACTGTTTAATTCTCTGTCTAGACAATGTGACCAATGGTATATTTCTATATCTAGACACTGTGACCAAGGGTATATTTCTCTGTCTCAACACTGTGACCAAGGGTATATTTCTCTGTCCCGACAATGTGACCAAGGGTATATTTCTCTGTCTAGACAATGTGAACAAGTTATATTTCTCTGTCTCGACAATGGGAATAAAAGAACATTTCTCTGCCTGGACAGTGTGACTAAGAATACTTATCTCTGCCTGGACAGTGTGACTAAGAATACATTTCTCTGCCTGGACAGTGTGACTAAGAATACATTTCTCTGTCTGGACAATGTGACTAAGTGTGGATTTTTCTGCCTGGACAGTGAGTGTGACCCAGTGTAGATTTCTCTGCCTGGACAGTGTGACCCAGTGTAGATTTCTCTGCCTGGACAGTGTGACCAAATGTAGATTTCTCTCCCTAGGCCTCCACAGTGTAACTCTGTTGTAAGTTATCAGGTATTCAGTAGGAAGAGGTTGGGGTGGATGGTTGGGGGCTGTTTGGATAGACTACAGAATCTTTGGAAAGAAATGTAGTTGAATAACCCTGGAAACTGCTGAAAACTTACGTTTATTTGAACAGACTCATCAGAAGGAAGTGATTATGCAATTGATACTAGAATAGTTAAAACATTTGTTATGAAAATAGAAATATATACATTATTGAAAATATCAATATAAAATATAACATTAATTATATAGACCCAAATTCAATGGAGTTATAATTCAATCATGCACTGTTTTTGAGAGTATTTATTTGAAATTACTGAAGTGAATTTTGATGACGCTTGTGCCAGTTATGTTGACAGATTTGATGCATTTAATTCTGGAAGATAA